AAAATACTTGCCCTAATTGTGGTCAAAATACGCATAGTAATGTATGTATATATCTTTAAACCAGGTGCCTTCTTAACAATGGCTACATATATAATTCAGTGACATTGATTACATTCAAGTTGTGCCACCATTTTCTCTATCCATTGGCAGAAATATCCTACCATAATCAGTATGAATTCAGTGACCCTCAAGCAAATACTCCGCCTCTCCTCTCTCCTCTCTCCTCCTACCCCTGGAGCCACTAAGAATCATTGATTCTTTATATTTGCTTATTTCACTTAGATGAGAACATGAAATATTTTTTGACTGCATGTTTTTGTTCAGTGTAATGTTTTTCAGTTCATCCGTGTGACAGCATGCATCAGGATTTACTTGTTCTTCAAAGCTGGGTGGCATGCCATTGTGTGTAATTACACTGCGGTAAAGAAAAAAAATGTTTACTCTGCTTTAGATAAATTTTTACGATCAAATTAGTTTCCCATTTGGTAGCTTTTGCATCAGTTTCTGAGATGTTAATTGCAGTCCCTACAATATATCAACACTCTCCCTTTTCCACCCTGGATTTCCCATTATTTAAAATCTGGATTTTCAACCCTTTCCTGCCTTCTCATCTTTGCTTTTGGGCAGATGCCACTTTGATCTATATTGATTGTTCTACGGAGCCCTCAACTCTTGGGTGGTGGTGACTACTGTATGGGCCTGTCCATTTTGGCTGAAACATGGTCTCTGCGAATGGCCTCGGTTCCAGGTCAGAAGGGTGCCTTAGGGTCATAGTCTTGGGTGTCCCTCCAGCTTGTTTCAGATCAGTGAGTCTGACCTTTTTTATGAATTTGATTATTGTTCTACATTTTGCTCTTGCTTTGTCCAGGACCCTCTGTTGTGATTTAGTCAGAGTAGATGGTCATGGTAACCAGGCACTATCTAGTTCTTCTGGTCTCGTGGTCATGTAGTATTATACCACTTACTTGTCCATTCATCTGTTGATGGACATTTTGGTTATTTCTACCTTTTGGCTATTGTGAACAGTGTTGCAAAGGACGCTGGGCTACTGATTTCTGTTTGCATTTCTTCCTTTGCTTCTTCTAGGAACACTTAGTCTTGGGATTGGTGGAGGGGTGTGTGTGTGTGTGTGTGTGTGTGTGTGTGTGTATTTTCAGTATTCTGAAGAATCACCACACTGGCGGAGCCAGTGTGTCTTCCCACCAGGAGTGGGTGAGAGTTCCAATTTCTCTATAACCTCGCTAACCCTTTCCTTTTTTTAAAAAAAACAAAACATTGTCATTCTAATGGAGATGAGGTGATATTGCATTGTGTCTTTGATTTACATCTCCCTACTGACTTATGAGAGGAGGCTGGGAGGAGCTAGCTGTGAGTTAGGTGTTGGACTGCGACACACACATTTAGCGGTTCAAACCCACTACCACTCTGAGGGCGAAAGATGAGGTTTTCTGCTCTGTGAGTATTGACAGTATCAGAAACCCTACATAGAATTGCTGTGAGTTAGAATTGAGTCACTGGCAGTGGGTTTGGTGTTTGGTTCTGGGGGCTAATGGTGCTGAGCACCTGTCATGTGCAACATGTTGGCTCTGTTCTCATTGGTGAGATGGCGAGGTCCTGTGAGTGTTGATTGGCTTGTAGTTTTCACAGGAGCAGTTTTATGGATGTGCAAAGGCAACATTGATACTCGGGGATACAGCTGTTTCGTCTTCTAGGTTTGCCGCCATTGTTTGAGTTGCTAAGGGTGGCACTTGGCATTGCCAGGGATGTAATTCAGATGAGTGGTACTTGGAACTAGGGAGTGTCTGCGATGTAAGAAAGCAGACTTAGAGGGATTTCTGCTTCTAGGGACTCCCACTTGGATGGCGTAGATAAGTTAGCTTTCCACGGGTGGGAAATACCTTGGTCCTTGCTTCTCAAGAGAAAGAATTCATGCTGAAGCCTGCTTGGTGGTCCAGTGAGTTTTACATAGAAGCAGTTTCAGGCGTTACAGTAAACTGAACACAAGCCAGAGAGAGAGTCCGCGGCATAGCTGTTCAGGACGGCAGCACAGCTGTACCGAGCTGTGTGTAGCCGCTGGGAGAGCGTGCTATCTCAGAGTTTCTGGCTTTTCAGGCCCTCTCCACCCTACCCCTACCCTGTTGGGAGACCTGGTTGATGATACTGTTTGACCCCATTGGCTGAATTAAGCCCACCTGGCCTTGGTGTGTGTGCATGCCCTCTAGCCTTAAGCAGCTTCCAACTTCCTGTAATGGGCAAGGGAGGCTTTGGCATTTAGAGGGACAACCCCTAATTCTGCCTCTAGCTACCTAACAGATACACCTATGCACATTCACACATCGACATACACACTCACTCACACAAATGGACACACACACAAGCATAATCACATTCACACAGACATGCACAAACCACAGATACAGCACACACATACATGCTCACACTCAGACACATATACACCACTCAAACTCACCACACAGACATACGTAGACCGCATGCATGCACGCTCATGCTCATTCACACTCATGCAGAGAGCACACACATACATTCACACACAGTTGCAGTGTGTGGGTAAAGATAGTGGTAGCTAAAGGGAAAGGATGAGGCTGTGGGCAGAGAGGCAGAGCAGAGAGCCATTGGAGGCGGTCACTCCCAGTGGTGGTTTTGGAAGAAGAGCATCTCAACCGGGGGCTCAGCTTCTGCAGAGCCATGGGTGCAAGAAAAGCATTCAGTCAGCAAACACTTCCCACCGCCGTTTGTGTGCGAGCACAGGGCATTGTGGGGATCAGTACCAAAAGGCAGAAACCAAGTTTTCAAAACCAATGACCTTTCAAAGTAGAATGCTTGCTGTTTCATAGGGTGTCTGGGCTTGCAGTTTGTTGTGTCTATAGGGTAGGTATTACCAAGATTCTCCATGAACTTGGTGAAAGGGATTTTATGTGGGATATGCCAGAACAGGTGTGTTCTTTAAACCCCTCTGTCAGACCAGCTTGACTAGAGAAACAAATCCAGGGACACTCGTGTGTAAGAGAGAGAGCTTTATATCAAAGAGCAATTGTATATTGAGGAAACATCCCAGCCCGGTCCAGATCAAGTCCATAATTCTGATCTTAGCCCATATGTCCAATGCTAGTCCATAAATTCCTCTTTCGACTCACACAGCACATGCAATGATGTCAAATGCAGGAAGACCCCAGGCCAGTGGGTAGAGAGCCTTGTGGATCCAGTGGCAGTGGAAGCATCTCAATGCTGGCGTGGGTCTCCACGAGACTTCTCCAGCTCTCTGAGTGTCTCAACAGCAGGAAAGGGACGGCAGAGAAGAGAGGGGGTCCGGCCTCCAATGAGCTATTTATCTCCATAGAGCAGTGGTTCTCAGCCTTCCTAATGCCGCCACCCTTTAAAACAGTTCCTTGGGTTGTGGTGACCCCCCAACTATAAAATTATTTTTGTTGCTGCTTCATAACTGTAATTTTGCTACTGTTAAGGAATGTCATGTAAATATCTGATATGCAGGATGTATTTTCATTGTTACAAATTGAACTTAATTAAAGAATAGTGATTAAAGCATTAATTAAAGCATTTACCCAGTAATTATAATTCATGAAGTATCGTTTTACCTCCAGTACTGCTGCTTTCAACACAGCAGCTGCTTTTAACAGAGTAGCTGCTCTCTACACGGTAGCTGCTCTCTACACATGGGTGATTGGTCCGCATAAGTACATTATGGTGCCAACCCTGTCACATACACCTGTATTTGTGTGGGGTGTAGGTGATGGGGTTGGCGCGATGTGTGGGCGTATCTGCATGTGGGCGGACCGCCTGGAGACAGAGGAGCGGTGTGTCGGTTCCTAAGACCATCGGAAATATGTGTTTTCTGATGGTCTTAGTGGACCCCTGTGAAAGGGTTGTTCAACCCCCAAAGGGGTCGCCACCCACAGGTTGAGAACTGCTGTCGTAGAGCCTCCAAATGAGGTCATCAAGCTGTGACCTGACTGACAGGCTAAATAAACTTCACCCCTTCACTCTTAATGCACTCAAGTTGATAAGAGATTATATAACTACCCCACCCTCCTTCCAGCCCCAAGGACCCACTCGGCTATCCTCCCACCTTGGGAATCACTTGTAGGTGAAAGGTTGAGCTTTCACAAAGACACAGCAGAGTGAAAACTCTTAGGGCACACGAGATGGGTTTTGAGCGAAGCCTCATTCCTGTCGTTTCTGTGTTACGGGTCTGACATGTGCCAGGGCTGCGTGGGCCCTGGGCTGACCCCAGGTTGCTCGATCACAGTGCTTTCTGGATTAGCTGTAGTGGGCTTGATCACTGCAGTTCTCACCGGCTCTGAGACGCCTTTGCACCAGCGGTACATGTGTTTGTCACCACGTGCCTTGCCACGCTGTCATCAGCAGCACTGTCAGTTATGCGCTGTGTCTCTGGCCTGTGGGGGCCGAAGCAGCAGAGGGGGATATGGTTTATCAGTTATGGGCCCGTGCTGATAGCATTTCACAGGGAGACATTCCTGGGACACATGGTGACTGCACCGGTGGTCTGGCTGTGCCCACCAGCCTCTTGTCAAGGAGATAGGGGGAGGACAGGATTCCGGAAAGCAGCCAGACAGTCGTGCTGCTGGCAGTGGGTGCCAGCCCCTCTGTGGGAGGATGGCCTGCTTTAGCTTTTCCCTGTGGGTTCCATACAGACTGTGGACGAGAGAAGCCAGGTGGATGGTTTTTCTATCATGAAAGGTATTCAACACAGAACGGAGCATAAAGGTAATAATGAAGCTGGCAGTAAATGTCAGCATTTCTGCAAATGGACTCAGAGCTTCTCTGGGACCTTATCTGTTGATAAGGAGGACGCGTCAGTGCTCTATCGGTGCACTTCGGAAGTGAAAGATGACTGCCTGCCAAATGCGTACCCTTAAACAGGTGATGGCATCCTGCTGGCATAGAGATGAGGAGTTTCACCATAGCTGCCTTTTCTGGGTGCTCTCAGTCCTCCGGTCCCTGCGGAGTCCTCGGGCCCAGGCCCTTGGCTGCCACCTTATATGTATCGCTAATCCTGAAATATGGAACTTCCGAACACATTCCTTCTCTTCCTGCCCTACCAGCTATCATGACATCAGTGAGCTGCACTAGAAGCCGGCTGGGACTTTAGATCTGCTTCAGACCCTGGGAAGCATGGTGCGGTCCTTCCAGCGCGTGTTCAGCTGCTGCTGATAGAGAGAACCCAGCCTTGCTAGCAGGTCTCTGACCACCACGTGCCATCCCGCATCACTCCGTCCGCACGCATCGCCATGGACAGTGCGTCTGCCAGGCATGGTGACCTCTCAGAGTCTGATGGTGGCACCTCCTCAGGTATCGGGACCCTTCGGGATCACCCAGACTCTCCAGTGCAGCCTGTCGAGTGGGGTGCAGCCTGGGGTAAGTCACGAGTCTTCATTCATTTAAGGGTGTTCTTAGACATCTCTTGAGTGTTGTTTCTTGTTTGATGCTTATTCTGAACTTACCGCCATTAGTGAGAAACAGGAAACCGATTGCTCAGTGATTCTGGGGCCACAGCGTAGGGGCCCCGTGGTTCTGGGTCACGGGAAGGGAGGGTGTGATGGCCTAGGAGGGTGACAGCACAGTAGTTCTAAGGCCACAGGGTGCTGAAAGTCTGAGTTGTATGGGTTGGGACTCGTGTTTGCAAATGGAAAATGGCAGGAGCCCCCTGGAAGTAGCTGGAGCGGAGGGGCTTTCCTGGAGACGGCCGTGTGCAGCCGGCTAGGCTGCACCTTGGAGCCACTAGAGGCGCGCACGAACCCGGGACCCTCGGGGACTTCTCGCCGTGGGCACAGGAGGCTTCAGAAGTGACGGCAGGAGAGACGAAAGTCGCGTCTCTCTTCCCTTTTTCTTCTTGGTGCAGTAAACAGTCCCGCCCACTGTCACTGTGGCAGGTGGGACACAGGTAGTCGTGGGCAGTTGGTGGGCCAGGCGGGCCAAGAAGCTGAGCTCTGTGCTGATCCCTTGGAGCCTACCTGGGGGCTCCTCTCCAAGCCGGGTGGGTGTGTGCTTGGAGTCGTCCTCGTCCCGTGAGGCGGCCCGGTGGCCCTGCTGCACTGTCAGCCTTCCCTTACTCTTGTATTTTTTCCTGTCTGTATCTTAAACAGCTTATCTTGGGGCTTCTCACAGAGCTGTTGACATGAAAAGGCAAACTTAGTATTTGAATCGCACAGCTGTGGGTGGTGGGGTGCTCGTCCCACGTTGTCTACTGGAGGGAAGAGCGTCCGGGGCTGCTCTGCTCTCCAAAGGAGCCCGTCCGTCCATGAGAGGTGTGAGAGCTGCTCTTGGTCTCCGAGGAGTCTCCCTGTGGCCCAGTGAAGCCATGTGTTTGAACAGTGATTTCTTCCGGTGTTAGGGCCCGATGCTCACCACGGCTTTCTTTTCCAGGTGCCAAGGGAACAGCAGGCACAGCTCCGGGTGAAGGAGAAGGCCTGGAAGTGCCCAGCCAGGGCCACAGCTGTCCAAATGGGGCTGTGCGGCCCTACCCAGGCCCTGTGCTACCTCTCGACCCCACCCCTCACCCTGTGGTGGTTGCTGACTCAGCTCCAGGTGTGGCTGGTTTCCATGACAACCTAAGGAAATCTGAGGGCACTAGTGCTGAGGGCAGTGTTAGAAAAGAAGCTTTGCAGTCTCTCAAACTAAGTCTTCCTATGCAAGAAACGCAACTGTGTAAGCATCCACCCCCCCACCTCCCACGCCCTTCTTGCTCTCCTTCCCGGAGGCAGATGGGCCATTGCTGTGTGTGTGTGTGTGTGTGTGTGTGTGTGTGTGTGATCGTGTCATTGTGAAAAGCACACAAGTGCTTGGTGTGAAGCCCTCGGTGACCTCGTGCCTCGGCACCATAGTCACCCGAGGGGCAGTCTGGCTGACAGGGCTGTGTTGAAGAGACGGCAACTACTGTGCGCGTGCAGCTTTTTCTACGACTTTCGTTAATGAATGTTGACCACGTGCTGCTCTCTGGGGCTTCTGAGGTGGACGGACTGCACACCAGAGGCCATGAGCCTGGAACCCTTGGGACCCTTTTACCCTTCTTTGCCTGCCTGCCCCCGCAGGCCGGTCTTCATGGCCTTGGCAGGTATACACGTGGATTTTGATCAGTTTTTAAAAATTGGATTATGTTGTTAACACTGGTGTGTTTTTCTTATTTATCTCTTTGATAGCAGGGAGTTGGCCCTGTTCTCTGTACATGTCTGCCTGTTGACCGGTGGCCAGTGCTCCAGCAGCACCGTGGTGCATTGGCACCGTAAGTCCAGCTCTCCCTACTAGATGGGGCTCCCGGAGTAGGGCACCGGTCAGCACCCCGTGGTCGGCTATGTGGTCGGCGCCTCCCATGCCCTCCCTCGTTCTCATGCTCACCTGTCTGATAGCGGTGCTGTGGTGTCTTGTTGCTACTTTGATTTGCACTTCTCTGTCACCAGGGAATTTGAGCATCTTTTCGTCCCTGGCCATTTCAGCTGGCTTATCTGTGGACAATCTGTTCCTGTCTCTGCCCATTTTTCTTTGGGGAGATTTGTCTTTTTCTTCAGATGCATAATTTTTTTAGAGCTGCAGGGTGGTTTAGAAATTGTTGGAAACTAGCTGCCCACACACAGGTTGAGAGGCTTCATGTGGATGTCTGGACTCCGTCTCCTAACAGTGGGGAATCACTGGCCTTGGTTGGCTCTGTGTTCTTGGTTTCCCATACGGTCTACTGGATTGTGCTGCCCCTTTTTGACTATATTAGCTCCCTCATGACACTATGCTTATCAGCCCCTGGCTGTCACCCTAAGGCTGTGACTCCTGCCACTTCCTGGAACCTTGCAGCGCTGGTTTATATGCAGCTCACTGAGTTGTCTCGTCAGCCTCAGCAAGAAGTGCAGAAGTTCTTTCAGTGGTCAGTGTCCATGTTAATGATGACAGGAGTCCCTTTCCAGTGAAATCCTGGTGACTGCTCAAATGGTAGGATTTGTTTAAAACAATAGCTCCCACTCCCAGGATGCACATCTGCGGGTGGTGGGCTGGATACAGCTGTGGGACTGCAGGTTCTACAGCACCCTCTGCCACTGTGATGAGTGCAAACGGGGCCACCAACCTGAAACCAGAGTTGATACTCTGGTTTTATAACCATAGTGCTTTTACATCCAAATAGTTGGCCCTGTAGGACCCAAAATAAATGATTTAGGCAATGTGTATTTTAATACTGTTCTCAGGTAGTATGTTATAGTTTGCCTCCTGACACTGGGTGCAGCTGCTGGGCTGGGTCTCAGCTGGTGGAACACTGCAGCTCTTGCAGGTGCCACAGCCTTGACCTTGTAGCGAGTTCCAGGTTTGTCCCATGAAGCCCAGCTCTTCAATGGTGTTATGCCTTTGATAAGCAACCGACTAGTCTAAGTACAATCTTCTTACAAAGCCTCCTTATCACATGGCTAGAACTCAGATAAGCTATGGGTCGAATTATTTCTCAGTCTATCACTACGTCAGGAAACATTGTGTGGTGCCACTTAACTGCTAGTCGGCATTGTCCCTGGTCCTCATCGCTGAATGTTGCTGCTCCGTGGCTGCCTTCTGTACATCCCTGCAGTTTGCTTATGAGGTCTGAGCACAGCGCTAGGCTTTGTGAAGTTTGGAGGTCTGTGTCACAGAGCACGCTCAGCCTTGGGAAAAGCTGTCTGTCAGGCAGTGAGTTCTTTTTGCAATGAAAGAGCCCGTGTTACGCCTCCTTTGTTTTACCAGCTGGACTCCCGTAGCAGCAGTGTGCAGTGGATGGGTGTAAGCTGGTCCCACACTGCTCAGTCTATGACCCAGTGACAGGCTTAGTTTCTTCGCATAGCATTGCCCTTGTGCACTTGATGGCTGTGCTTTATTTGGGACCTAAAGCATATGTTTTAAAAAAAAAAAGCCTACTGGTGATTAAGCATAGAATGGTCCGGGCGTCACTGCTGATGCGTCTGAGCGTTGACATGTTGCGCCTTTTTAACGACTTTCGTGCTGCAGGCTCAACTGAGGCCTCGCTGCCCCCGGAGAGGGAGGAGCAAGTGCGCCTTCAAGCTCGGAAGCGGCTGGAGGAGCAGCTCCGGCAGTACAGGGCGAGGCGGCAGCAGGAGAGGGTGAGTCTCCCCCAGCGCCGGTGCGAACGTCTTTCCACGGCCCGGCCACAGGCTGGGCGCCATGGCAGCATCTGCGCCATCCTCGGCACACTTTGCCAGGTTCGGTGCATCTGTTCACTGTGCTTCGCTGTAAACCTGAGACAAGTTCAATTGAATAGGGCCTTTTTTGTCGTGTTTAAAATTTTGTGTGTGTATATCTGGACAAAAAAAAAAAAAAACATGGTAAGAGAATAGCCAGAAAAGTTTTATAGAAGGCTTATAATGAGCAAGGTGGTTTTCATAGTGCTACAAGCCATTGTGATGAGAGTCAGCGTGTGTGCTAGAGCCTGGTTCATCAGGGATGTAGGTAATTGGGGCAAGATGTGAGTGGTCTGCATAGAAACCACCATTTGGATGGCTGTTTCAGAATGCTTCTTGTCCATTTTAAACATGTTTATAATTTTGTTTCCTTTTCAGTCCAGCCAACCAACCACTAAGACAAGACTTTTCAGCACGTTGGACCCAGAGCTCATGCTCAACCCTGAGAACCTGCCAAGGGCCAGCACCGTGGCCATGACGAAGGAGTATTCTTTCCTGCGCACCAGTGTCCCTCGCGGGCCGAAGGTGGGCAGCTTAGGGCTCCTGGCACACTCCAAGGAGAAAAAGAGTCCCAAATCGAGCAAGATTCGGTCTCTGGCCGATTACAGAACTGCAGATCCAGATGCCAGGGACTCAGGGGGTGGCGCCTCAGCCACCAGCCCCTCTGGGGGTGCTGTGAGCAGGGGCAGCGTGACGTCTGTGGTGTCTGAGGCCAGCCTGCCCCCCGAGGCTGACGCCCACTTAGAGGATGCCTTGCTGGCTCAAGACGACACCTCAGAGGTGGACGGCAGTGAGGCTGGGCTCAGGCTGGACGGGAATGACAGTGACAGCTCCTCCTACAGCAGCGTGTCCACCTGGGGCGCACAGGGCACAGTGCTGGCCGCAACCAGTATCCAGGATGTATCCTCCATGGTCAATGGCCAAGAGGTCACCTCGGATTCCCTGGGACAGTTTCCTTCCATTAAAGATGTTCTCCAAGCTGCAGCAGCTGAGCACCAGGGCCAGGGGCTGGAGGTCAACGGGGACGTCCGGAGCCGCAGAGGAAGCCTCTCGAGCAGGTGGGCTCCCACACTGTCCTGTCTGCATGCTCACCCCTGGGGGCTGTCACCCGTGCCCCCGCCGGCATTCCCTCTCAGGCCGGGCTACTGCTTTCTTGGAGCAGAGTTCAGAGTCTGCATCACTGGCACCCCTTCTTCCTGGGCACAGGCAGTTTTCTAAGTCGCACTGCTTCTTAACCAGCTCGTGGTGTGGTGAGGGTGTCCCAAACCCACGGTGGTCTGAGGGCCGCACTCCTGGCAGGGTGTTCAGTGTCCCTTTGTGCTGTGCAGTAGCTCTCTGCGTACACTTTCTCACCTGTTTGTCTAAGCACTCGGGGCAGAGTGGCAGGGAGGGTGGACTGTGGAGAAGGCCGAGCAGATGCAGGAATGTCGACTACCTGCATGCATGTGTTTTGCCTCCAGCGTGTCCGTGGGGAGCTCTGTTGCTGAGGCCCAGGATGAGATGCTGCAGGTGCTCAAGGAGAAGATGCGGCTGGAGGGGCAGCTGGAGGCCCTGTCGCTGGAGGCCAGCCAGGTAATTTCCTCTGTGTGGACAGGCCCTGGGCTTTAACGCTGCATACGTGTTATTACATAGAAGCTGTTTACTGGCAGTTAGTATATTACAGGCATACCTCAGAAGTACTGCAGGTGCAGTTCCAGACCACAAGAGAAAAGTAAATATCAGAATGAAGCAAGTTACATGTGTTTATTGGCTTTCTGAGGAAGCCTGGTGGTGTAGTGGGTTACACGTCAGGCTGCTAACCGCACAGTCAGCAGTTCAAAACCACCAGTCAGTCCATAGTAGAAAGATGAGGCTGTCTACCCTTGTCCTGACTTAGCATCTCAGAAACCTGTAGGGGAAGTTCTAGTCTTTCCTGCAGGCTCAGTATCAGTTGGAATCTACTCGTGGCAGTGAGTTTAGATTTTGGAATGTGTGGAAAGTGAGGTGGACACCACTACACTGGAGTCTGTTTCCTATGCAGTAACGTGATGCAAACAGTTGAAATGTAAGAATCCCCAAAATGTGGCACAGAGACACAAAGCAAATCCATGCTTCTGGAAAAATGGTGTCGAGAGACTTGCTCAGTGCAGAGTTGCCACAAACCTTAACAATTCTGGAAGCTGCACTGTCTCTGAAACACAGTGTAGTGAAATGCAACGAAATGAGGTACGCTCATGCACTGTCCAAGTTGGCTGGACTCGTCAGCCAGAGGAGGGCTAGGGTGTGTGCAAGGCCTCCTGTGTCCCTCATGGGCGCGCCCGGAGAGCATACAGGCTGGGTGTGGAGAAAGCCGGCAGCCCTGGCCACAGGCCTCTCTGCCACTTGCACCACTTTTGCTGATGTGGGTTCTGGGTTTTTCTGAGGCTGATCTAAGAGGGCTTCAAAAGCTTAGGGAAGATTTGCATGAAAGATAATGGGATCTTCCCATGAACTTTTAGAAGCTCTGGTGTTTCTCTTGTATTACCACTCACATTTCGGTTGTTGCAGTTTTTTGTGATTTTAGTCTCTGAGTTTTCCTCTCACCCGTTCCTGTGCTGTGTGGCAGCGTTCACCGTTCTGCCTGGCTGTCTCTGTGCTCAATCGTGGTTTTGCCTCGCCTTGAGTGGACGCGCCACCTATGCCTCCCAGGCCTGTTTAGGACTCATCTCGGGGACGTTGCTGGGTGGCTGGCCAGGTTTTTTGTTCTAATGTGAAGTTAGCCAACTTTGTCTCACTGGCCCTCTCACTTGGTTCTCGTGAAGTAACTACATGTTGGGGCTGTTTCAGGCACTGAAGGAAAAGGCCGAGTTGCAGGCGCAGCTGGCCGCCCTGAACACCCGGCTGCAGGCGCAGGTTGAGCACGGCCAGAGCACCCAGCAGAGGCAGGACTCGCTCAGTTGTGAGGTGGACACCTTGAAGCAGTCCTGCTGGGACCTGGAACGTGCCATGACTGACCTGCAGAGCATGCTGGAAGCCAAAAATGCCAGCCTGGTGTCCTCCAACAGTGACCTGCAGGTGGCCGAGGAGCAGTACCACAGGCTCCTGGCCAAAGTGGAAGACATGCAGAGGAGCATGCTCAGTCAGGATAACACCGGTGAGTCTCCAGCGCTCGCGAGGCCTGTCGTTCCTGTCCAGTGAGTCTTGTCTGGTTTACGGCCTGCTCTGCTATAACAGTGATCTATATGGCTGTGGGTTTAGACTGCTTTATAAGTTATGCTTCTGTAACGAGATTGCACCTTTTGGTGGCGCTCACAGTCCTACAGGTTTTACACAAGTTGCAAGGGGAGTGATTGGAGCTTGGAGGTTTTCTGTGGAGCCTCTACGAATACTGACAAAGTAGAGCGGCCATATGCACAGCTTCATATTTTAAAATATTTACATCATCACCGAGGGTGCTGCTTAGGCATCTGCTCCCACCTGCTCCCACCTCCGGGAAGTGGGGTCCCTCTAGGGACCCTGTGCAGGGGCAGCAGTAGAGCCACTGCGCAGCACATTTGTTCTCCTGAGTTGGGTCTGGGTGTGAGCAGCCAGTCATTGAGAGTCTGAAGCAGTTAAGGATTGTGTAGTTGCAAGTACTAGAAAATGCAGCCCAAGTTGCCCTCCACAGAAGAAGGGCGGGGAGGCACGAGAAGTGGGGGTGCACGTGAAGCTGGGGGAGGCCCAGTGCAGGGTCTCTCTCTGCCCTCAAGCCAGAACCAGGGGAGCCCGGGTGAAGTCTGGCATGCTGCCACAGGCAGAGGGCTCAGTTCCCAGTCAGGTGGTGGCCTTCTTTCAGAGCCGCCACCAGGTGGCGTGGTCATCCAGGTGACCTGGACTCCTGTCCCCTCTTCCTGAGGATGCTGTGTGTCTCCCCGCCTCATGCATCGCCTCGGCTCAGGCCGGTCCCTGGCATTCTCTGTCTCTGAGCGTCCAGGTGGTGGTGACAGCAGTTCTCCCTGAGGGTGCCAGAGGCAAGGCAGGCCCTCAGCACTGTGTTAGACTGCCGTCACCCTGCGGCCTCTCAGCAGGCGTGTTCGCATACTTCCCTCCCACAGCCGCTGTCACAGCAGAGGGCTCCTCTTCCAGCCTCAGACACGGGCCCCTAACGGAGGAGGACCCTCTCTTGTGTGTGAACCCTGCAAATCCCTCCCAGTCCTACGGGCTCTAATCAGGCCACATGGCCTCACTAAATGTTTACCACGGCGAGGTCATCTCACTGCTCATGGGGTAGGTAGGGATCCTGCAGGCAGTCCTGAACAAGTCACCTGTGTACACTGAGCCGCTTGCACTGCTGTGTTTGCCCTTTCTGTGTCTTGTTTTTATTTTAGATTTGGGGGAAAGCCTTGAGTGGATAGTGTTTTGTCATTTAAGTCCATGTAGGCTGTTACATTTTGTTTCGGCTGTCGGTGAACTCCAGTCTTCTGGTTAGAGTTGACACATGGGCTGACCAGAGGTGACCCACTGCACAAAGGCCTCGTGAGCTCGACTTGGAGTTAAGAGGACACCCCCGGGCCAGCAAGGATAGGAGCGTGGTGTCTGTGTCTTGTCCTCAGAGAGCGGCTCAGGCATGTGTGTGTCTGCGTGTGTATCTGAGCGATGTGTGTTCTTTTCAGTGCATGACCTGAGACAGCAGATGTCGGCCCTTCAGAGCCAGCTGCAGCAGGTGCAGGTGGAGCGCACGACACTGACCAGCAAGCTGAAGGCATCACAGGCTGAGATCGCGTCCTTGCAGAGCGTCCGGCAGTGGTACCAACAACAGCTCACAATGGCACAGGAGGCCCGAGTCAGGCTGCAGGGCGAGATGGCCCACATCCAGGTGTGGACAATATGGCCAGGACTGACACAGTGGGGCGAGGGACTCTGGCTTGACCAGGCTAGCACTATTGCTGTATTTAATGGGGCTGGGTCCTTGAATCACAAAAATGTATTTCTAAGTTTCTCAGGAAAATTAAAATGCGAAATCTCTCTCCCTACCCCCATTCCAACCCCCTTCTCCTGTGCAGGAGCCTCTTCCTTGAACTCTCAGGGGTCTCTGCTTCTGTATTGAGCAGCTGGTTGTTCCTAGTCAACCTCCCTCTGAAACTTGTGTCCTTTGGCTTTGGCTCCCAGTCCCCTCCCTCCTAGAACGCTCAGCCCTGCTGTGGACATGCCAGCACTTCCCATGGGAATGGTTTGTGTTTGGGGCCTGTAGCATAGTTGTCCTCGGTTGTTACTGTGTTGGTTGTGCTCAGACCTGGCCGACATCTGAGGGACAGGAGACTGTCCATACCCTCAGGTGGTGTCACATTGGACACTTGTGGACTGGGAGCTCCTAAGGGCACTGAGGTCGCATGTTCAGGCCACCTCGGGTTCTGAGCAGCAGGCGGTAGGCGATGGAGATGCTGAAGAGGAAGGGCTGCTATCGACAGGAGCCCTGCCTCAACGTCAGAGCACTTCTGGGAACAGACTCGTGATCACTTAGTCTGCGTGTACTTAGCAGTGGACTCTATGGTCTCCCTCTTCTTGCCCCCCTTGCCTCCGATCAAATATTGTAGGTTTTAGGAAAACATTTATTCTACCTAAAACATGCCTGAAATTAAGTTGTGACATGATGGCTGTACTTCGGAAGCAGGCATATTCATCTAGGCAGGGACAGTGTTCAGCATGAGCCAGGTCACGATGTAATCTGGAGTGAGCTATGGAGGGTCAGTGGGAGCAGCACTCTGGGAGCTTTAGCTGCCTTTTAAAATTCCCGTTGCACCCCAAGTTCAGCACTCAGGAGCTGGGCATTTTAACACATGTTACGACCCTGCGAGGCCCTCTCTCTCCCAGCTTTGGGTGGCTGGTCTGTATGAGGCAACAAGAGGGCATGGGAATCGAGGACTGGGCTGTAAGAGGAGGAGGGAGGGTGCAGGCACTGTGGCGCTTCCACTGCTGGGGAACCACTGAGCCCCAGTCTCCCCGAGACCCTCGCTCTTGGTCGTCTGGGGACCAGAGTGGCACTTGGCAGACCCAGCCTGCCCTCCGTGCTTCTCTCTTGTGACTGCTTGCTCTTCACTGCGACTGCTCGGGCTCCTTGAGACAGTCTCTCTGTGGCTGGCATGTCAGAGCCCTGTTGGGCAGGGTGACTTGACTTCCTCCCAGGGAGGTTTTGTGTGGACATTCCCACAGCTGCTTAGTCTCAGGGTCTCCCTTCTACTGAGACAGGGGCTCCAGCTTGAGGGTGGTGGGCAGTATGGCCCACATGGCAGCAGGTCACTTGTCATGTGCTGGTGGCAGTGTCCCCCGTTGGTGGCCCAGAATAGGCTGGTCTCCACATGTCTTGAAGTCTGGTGACTTTTTATGTGGGCTTTCTCCTTTAAGGCTGGACAGATGACCCAGGCGGGCCTCCTGGAGCACCTGAAACTGGAGAACGTGTCCTTATCCCACCAGCTGTCAGAGACACAGCACAGGTCCATCAAGGAGAAGGAGCGCATTGCTGTCCAGCTGCAGAGCATTGAGGTGAGTGCGCTCAGCCAGGCCTGGGCGGTGCTGGTGAAGGGTGGCGAGTACGTGGTCTTGCTAAGGAGCCAGGCTGTGTGTGCCTGCTCTCAGCACCTGCCATGCCCACCGTCAGCATTTGGGTCCCTTTTTATGTGGACCTAGGCTCTTGTGGGTCTGCTCCTTCCCAGAATGAAATGCTCCACGTCCTACAAATGTGGAGTGCCACTGAAGGTATAGCTCACTTGTAAGGTCACAGGCTGGCTGCACCACATAGCCACAGTTGCTGTCACCTTGCCCCTGGGGGCCCAGCTGGTCAGGCGTGGTGATACTGCCCCACACGTGCTGCCTGCCTCCTTTGAGGGCATGGCCTGTCGTATCACCTAGTGACCTTGGGGTGCCATCCGTCACACCCCCCAGGTCCTTCCCTGTTTTACATAGTGACCAGGGACAAATCCTCCTATCAGCAGGGCAGCTGCATGGCCTCACCTTTCCCAGGTGCAGTCCTGGCAGCAGCACTACTGCTTTTGGAGTCCTTGAATGGATTGGGCAGCAGCTAAAAACTCACATGGCTGTACTCCGCCTAGGACATGCCTGGGAGCCCACTTCTCTGAATGTCACTGTGATTTGTTCCACTGCCAGAAATACAGGGCACTGCCGGCAATGTCTGCTCCCTGTCAGGCTCCGTCCAGCCAGCCTGGGGTCACTGGTGCCTTCAATGGGGAAAGGCCTTAGCTGACTGCTGGTGACCTAGAGGCCATCTTGAGTTTTAAAAGACTTCGCTTTCTGAGCCCAGGCTGACATGTTGGACCAGGAAGCTGCCTTCGTTCAGATTCAAGAAGCCAAGACCATGGTGGAGGTGGACCTCCAGAGGAGGCTGGAGGAGTTTGAGGATGAGAAGGAGCACCTACAGAAGATGGCAGACTCTGCCGCGTCCTTGGAGCAGAATCTGGAACAGGTAAACTCACCTGAGCTTGTCTTAAACAAGACTTCCCTGTGTGGCACTGCACCTGAGACTTGCTTTTAAAATGCCACACTTGCGGCTAGGTGGCTCCTGCAAATCTGGCCATCTGCATACTTGCATGAAAAAAACTTTTTCCCAAGTGTCCATCAATTTTACTTCAAACCCAAACAAGAGAAAAAGTACTGGCTCACTTGAGAGGAGCCACACAGTTGTTGTTTTTGTCCAGGTAAAGCTGACTTTGCTCCAACGAGACCAGCAGCTGGAGACCCTGCAGCAGGAGCAGCTCAACCTGATGAGGCAGCTCACAGCAGCCCAGGAGGCCCTGCAGGCCAGGGAGCAGAGCCTCGAGGACCTGCAGACACACCACCAGGAGCTGCAGGCCCGACTGGAGGAGACAGAGGGCGAGGCAGCTGCCAAGGACGATGCCATCCACTTCCTGCAGAACGAGAAGATCGTTCTGGAGGTGGCTCTGCAGGCGGCCAGGAGCAGCCAGGAGGAATTGGACAGGGGCGCAAAACACCTGGAAGAGGGCGCTGAGGAGACATCAGAGGTGATCGAGCAGCTGAGGCAAGACTTGGCAGTGAAGTCCAGCCAGGTAATGCGGCCCATTGCTACCTGTGGGAGTCAGGTGCAGTATGTGGTTCTTCTCTCTGTGCATCACATGGAGGGTGTCCAGGCTGCAGCTCCACTCTGCATTCTGAAGGTTTTGTTTGACACCTTTGAAACCAGTCAGCTAAGGAGATACACATTTCTGTTCATGTGACACAGAGATCTGTTTTTGTCACGTTACCTGAACATGCATACACTTTGAATTTCCTTGTCTGTGTGCCTGACTGTACACCACCACACCTCCGATGCCCCACACGATGGCTTGTCAAAATGGTCTACCACCGCAGGTGTGTGGGACCTGGGAGCAGAGGAGGGACGGCACACGACCTGGCCCGTGGCTCAGCAGGTGGTCATGGCTAGGGATGCTATGTGCTCGTGGCGTGACGTGCTTTTGCTGTAGACTTGAAAAGTGTAGGTAGAACGACAAAGCTTAAGAATGATGTGGAAAGCGGCCATCAAGCTCAGAAGCAACAAAGCCCACATGGAAGAAGCACACCAGCCTATGCAGTCACGAGGTGTCGAAGGGATCAGGTATAAGGCATCATCAGAACAAAAAATCTTACCATAGTGAATGATGGGGGGAGTGCGGAGTGGAGACCCAAAGCCCATGAGTAAGCCACTGGAGATCCCCTTGCAGAGGGGTCTCGGGGAGGAGACGAGCCAGTCAGGGTGCAATGTAGCAACGATGAAAAATACAACTTTCCTCTAGTTCCTAAATGTTTCCTCCCCACTCCCACTATCATGATCCAAATTCTACCTTGCAAGTCTGGCTAGACCAGAGGATGTACACTGGTACAGATAGGAACTGGAAATACAGGGAACCCCGGGCGGATGATCCCTACAGGACCAGTGGTGTGAGTGGCGATACTGGGAGGGTAGAGGGAGAGTGGGTAGGAAAGAGGGAACCGATGACAAGGAACTATATGTGACCTCCTCCCTGGGGGACGGGCAACAGAAAAGTGGGTGAAGGGAGACGTCGGACAGGGCAAAATATGACAAAATAATAATTTATAAAGTATCAAGGGCTCATGAGGGAGCGGGGAGCAGGGAGCGGGGAGGGAGGGGAAAAATGAGGACCTAATGCCGGGGACTTAAGTGGAGAGGAAATGTTTTGAGAATGATGAGGGCAATGAATATACAAATGCGCTTTGCACAATTGATGTATGTATGGATTATGATAAGAGTTGTATGAGCCCCTAATAAAATGATTAAAAAAAAAAAAAGAATGATGTGAAAGGAAGCAGAAGTAGTGTGAGACTCACTTTCTTCAGAATGTATCCAATAAGCATCAAGGACAAGAGGAAATCCATGTTTTCTGTTGGGCAAGTAAAATAAACTCAGGCTGCCTCTCTTCTCAAACATTGCCTCCAACAGAATTCTTTTCTGAGAGAGATGCACTAGGCAGATCGCAGCCAGGAAAACATGCAGGGGGCATGTCTAGTGCCCCTTGCCCCCAAAGGACATCCAAACGCACCGATGTCAAGATAGTACGACTCACAGCCTCCCTGAAGGAGAGGGCCGGATGGCTCCATTGGGTTTCGAGGCTGTAGCTATTGATAGAGACAGGCTGCATTCTCTTTCTCCCGCAGGACAGCTGGTGGGCTCACCCTCTGATGTTCCTATTTGCAGCTGAGTACTTTAACCACTGTGCCACCAGAGTGCTGCATGTGCAGCAGGGAGAGGCATTAGGGAGGAAGGGTGAGGATTTCCAAGATGACTCTGATTTTCATTTCATGGTAGTTAGCTCAGGTGGGAGAGCTCCACTGGGACTCGGGGATCCTTGGAAGTGAGAGTACTAGAACGTCTGAATCCGACTTGTGTTGCTTTTCAGAGTAACTGGTAGGATGGGACCCCCTGTGCTAGGTTACCTGGAGAGCAGAGTAGAGGGGCTGGTGGCAGTGTTTGAGTCCCTGGGGGCATCTCTGCAATCCCATCGTTCCCGCCTCCCTGGGAACATCTGTCAACCCAATGTCCCAGGCGTATTGGGGTGTCTCTCCAGCCCCAGTGTCTGCTTTCTTGCCTCAGCAGCACCGACAGAACTGGACCTTGGGCCCTTCGAGTGCCCACAGGAGTCCACATGTCTGTGCCTCCTTAAAGTGCTCAGGGCTTCCCTTCTGCACTTCTGAGTCATGTCCCCCTGTGTAGGACCACCATAGCCCTGGAAAACCTGGAATATAAGTAAGCCGTAGAACAGACCAGAGGGCTGCCCTTGACTTCCCTCTCCACCTGGAAGGAAAACCAGCTCAATTCCTGGTCAGATACAGCTGATAATTAGAGTTGCTGTGTATACTGTGGCCTTCAAGTACAAATCTTGGGGGCACAGAACATTCGAGTCTTAACCATTTCTCACTTCCAGTGATGATGGCCACATATTCATATGTGGTATATTTTGTTACGAAACCGTGTCCCATTTGTGCTGCAGACAGTTCCATGGGTGACCGTGCAGGGGCATAGTCGCATGAGGGCCTGAGATTGCTTGGGTTGGTGCTTCTATTTAAGCGCATGCTTTCATAATCTAGAGTAGCATTTCACACATTTCCTGTGCTCCTGGACCCCCAGGGCCCTGTACATGGGCTTCTGATTACGTGGGTCTGGGCAGAGCTGAGATCGCATCTCGGCTGGATCCTGATGGTGTGGATGGCTTGCCTCTGGCCAGACTATGAACCACAGAGATGTTGAATGGATTGGCCAGCGGTGGCTGACAGCCCAGCCCCAGCCCCGCTTTTGTAGGTCATGTTTGATTGGCATATAGGCTCATTCATAGGCTCATTCATGATTGTCATATAGGCTCATTCATAGGCTCATTCATGATTGGCATATAGGCTCATTCACAGACTGTGTGGCCATGAAGTAGAGAAGTGCACGTACACTCTGAAGCTTTCCAGCAAACTTGGCCAACCCAGCGACAGAGCTTCCCCTTGCCTCCCATCCCCGTCGTTGCCTTCCTTCTTAAGCACCAGGGGCAGGCACCCTCTCTGACAGCCGCCCTCAGAAGCCACTGGCTGCATCCATTGAGAACTTATCCTTAGTGACTGCTGTGCCAACTCTTAGGGGCATGTTTCCTTCCGGGCATCGCACCCATCTTCCGTGCCCCATCTGAGTAACATGCTGTGCTACTGGGTCCCTGCAGGTGGAGCACTTGCAGCAGGAGACAGCCGCTCTGAAGAAGCAAACGGAGAGAGTCAAGGAGCAGTTTCTTCAACAGAAGGTAAAATACTCTGCTTCCTTTATTGAATAGTTATTGCAGGTTTGCATAACTGAGCAAGAAGAAGGTTCTTTTAAGAGCTCATCTCGTGGGAGAGTGGGTTGGAAAGAGGGAACCGATGACAAGGAACTATATGTGACCTCCTCCCTGGGGGACTGACAACAGAAAAGTGGGTGAAGGGAGACGTCGGACAGGGCAAGATATGACAAAATAATAATTTATAAATTATCAAGGGCTCATGAGGGAGGGGGGAGCGGGCAGGGAGGGGGAAAATGAGGACCTAATGCCGGGGGCTTAAGTGGAGAACAAATGTTTTGAGAATGATGAGGGCAATGAATGGACAAATGCGCTTTACACAATTGATGTGTGTATGGATTGTGATAAGAGTTGTATGAGCCCCTAATAAAATGATTAGAAAAATAAATTTAAAAAAGAACTCTTCTCAATTACCTGGTGTGTGGACACCTTCTCCAAACCCCCACCCTCGCCCCCACCGCCACCCATTTCAGTGTCTCTCCAGTTGGGAGCATGTCCCCAGGGTCACCCTGGAGGGACTTGTGAGGTTCCCCGAGGTGCTGTTGCCCAGAGCGTGTGTGACTTAAATGTCTCTGGAACAGTGCCCCCATGGTTTGGTACGGGAACAAATTGGGGTCTTCGCGGCGCGGCCTGGGGCACAGATCTGTGATGCGAACTTTCTTGCAAATTATCAGTTGAGGCTTTTAAGGGATCTGAGGAAGAGTGTGCCCTCGGTCATTGAAGTGGTCTTTAGTTTATACTGACTCAGGCAACTGAAGGCAGGGGAAATCGCCAGACTCCTTGCATTAGATGACGTGTTTCAAACCACTGGAAGCAATGTGGCTGGCTGCTGCTCTGCGCCAGACCCTGGGAAGGGGGTGGGCATTGCTGACGTCGTGCATGTAGCACTTAGTGTGAGGTCTCTCTAGTTGGCTCTCTGATTTGGTGAAAAATGGAAAGTACTTCCAGCTCAAGATGATGATGATGATGATTAATGTAAGCAGTGGAATCTCTGCTTTGGTCCCTGAGTTGGCCTGTCCCTCACCCTCACCCCCACCCCAGCTGTGACTCTTGTATTTGGCTGAAGGTGATGGTGGAAGCCTACCGTCGTGATGCCACCTCCAAAGACCAGCTCATCAGTGAGCTGAAGGCCACCAAGAAGAGGCTGGACTCCGAGCTGAAGGAGCTGAGGCAAGATCTGATCAAAGTCCAGGGAGAAAAGAAGTCAGTGGAGGTAGAGCACGCGAGGCTGCAGAGGGAAGTTTCTCAGGTGCATCGGCAGGTGGCCCACCTGGAGGGGCACCTGCAGATGGTGCAGAAGGAGCGAGACAACATGGAGACACAGTTGCAGGTCAGGAGTGGTGCAGGACGGGCCAGCCTGGGGTCTCATTAGGACTCATGGGAGGGGATGCGTGGGTGGACACCTGGTGACCTTGACAAGGGCAGGTTAGCAGAGTCCGTGAGAGGGTGACCACTTCTAAGGGGTGGGGTGCGTTCATGGTTGACATTTACGATGGGGAGCCAGAGTTACTCACGTGTCCGTTATCTGGCTCTAGGCTAAGCCAGCTCTGGACACTTACAGATGAGCTTCTCAGACACCTTGGGGAAGGAGGCCAGAAGTGGCACCGAGTGGGTGGCAGGGTGGAAAGGGACCTCCAGTGTCGGGCTCTGAATAGGGCTGGGATGCCGGGTGCAGGGGCAGGTGCCTCTGTGCTGCCCATCGAGGACCCCCCCCTTGGGCTTTGGCGCATCTCATGCTGGTTCCTCCCTTCTCTCTGAAGTCTGTGCAGTTTGATAAGGAGCAGATGCTCGTGCTCACGGAGGCCAACGAGACCTTAAAGAAGCAAATCGAGGAGCTGCAGCAAGAAGCCAAGACGTGAGTCCACTGGGGGGACAGGGTGCTACCACTGCCCAGGGAGCAGTGTTTTCCTGCGTGTGTGCATCAGGGAGGGCCACGCATGGAAGAGCACGGACGAGAACTGGGAGCACGTGGAATGGAACAACAAATTCCCTCATTATGGTACCCAGCTCTGCTGAGAAGCAGCAATGAGTGTGGCCCAGGAAGTGAGATTTCAAATGTAAAGATAAAGTATTGACTCCATGACAATGGAGTAACTGCCCGCTCGGCAAAAGTAGTCCCAAAGTTCATCCATGAATTTTCTCCAGCATTTTAAAAATCTAATTGACATGTAATTCATGTAGCATACAATTCAGTGGTTTGAAAATATTTAAGAGTTGCCCCAACTTCAGCATCTTTTCAATCAACATGCCCCTTGTTTTATCTTCCTTTGTTGCCTCCTTCTGCCCTACCTCCACCTGAGCTCCCTGACCAGTCGGTGTGGTGTCTGTCTTTGGTTCCCCCTTTGGTACGCACACATCCCACAAGGGCACACAGACATGGGTGGGCATGCGTGCTCCTGGGGGACTTTCTTGCCAACATGGCATCCCCGTACTGCATCCCTTTTATCAGGCAGTGTCTTGAGAATGGGCCCGGCCGACTTCCCTGGCTTAATGCGCACAACCAGCATCAAGATCGGAACGATTTTGTGTGGCAGGGAGGACCCCTTGCCCAGTCTCATGGAGTCCTCTAACAGGTCCCGAGAGCGGCAAGAGTGACTGAAGTGGACCGTGTGGCCGAGGCCCTGATGCCACCCACAGCGTCCTGTGCACTGTGTGCTCCTCACCCAGATCTCCTTGATGGGAGCTGGCTCAGGGGGGCCAAGTGGCTTATCCAGGTCCCTTGGGGTCTGAGGAGAGGCCAGCAGGGTGGGTGTAAGGAACCCCTAACTCACACTTCCCTGTGGTGACTTTGTCAGTAAAGAGCTGTTTCTGTTTCGCGGTCCTAGGGCCATCACAGAGCAGAAGCAGAGGATGAAGCGCCTGGGCTCGGACCTCACCAGTGCCCAGAAGGAGATGAGGGCCAAGCACAAGGCCTACGAGAACGCCGTGGGCATCCTTAGCCGCCGTCTGCAGGAAGCCCTCACGGCCAAGGAGTCTGCGGAGGCCGAGCTCGGCAAGCTGCGAGCCCAGGGCACGGACGCTGATGGCCGCAGCCTCGCCCTACAGGTAGGTGTCTGCATGGATGTTATTGCCTTTGGGTTTTACTGGTAGGCCTAACATTTCTCTTCGCACTACATGAACTTACACTTCACATACTATTCTCCACTTTGCCTCGCTCGGCTTCAGTCCTAGTTGTATTTCCTCTTCCACGAATGGCTTCTTTCTCCTGGTCATCTAGGAATGTAGGCGTCAGAAGGAAGTACATGTCAGAGCAAAGTGTCCTTGTCAAGTGAACGCTCCTCCTAAGTGACTTTGTACAGAATCACTGCCATTGCCTTTCCCCTTTGAACTGTACAAAACGTCTGACGCCCACTCTGCAGTGTACACAGTAACGGCAGCGCGGTGGGCGAAGCTCCCTGGATCCTGCTGTCTTCGTGTCACAAGGCTATTAACCAAGAGCTCTGGCGATTCAGTAAGACAATGAGCTTGGGGGCCTGAACTACACGTTCAAATTGCAGCAGCGCCACTTAGCAGAAGGTGTAATGTTCAATTTCACACCCCTCGGGACCAGTAATGAGAGTAGCGATGCCAGGAGGGGAAGGGGAAGGTGGGGGAGAAAGGGAAACCGATCACAGTGATCTACATATAACGCCCCCCTCCCTGGCGGACGAACAACAACAACAAAATGGGTTAAGGGAGACATCGGAATGTGTAAGATATGAAAAATAATAATAATTTATAAATGATTAAGGGTTCGTGAAGGAGGGAGGATGGGGGAGGGAGGGAGGGGGGGGGAATGAGGAGTTGATACCAAGGCCTCAAGTAGAAAGAAAATGTTGTAAGAATGATGATGGCAACAAATGTGCTTGACACGATGGATGCATGGATGGATGGATGGAGTGTGATGAGTTGTATGAGCCCCCAATAAAATGATTTTTTTTTAAAGAAAAGTTCAATTTCCCAAATGGTTTTGTTCCTTAGTGGAACAAGGCTGAGATTAGGAAATAACAGGACCGACAGCGTTAGCATGGTGAGATGAGGTGCTCGGTGTCCAATGCTTGGAACAGAGCTTGCCCGTCAGTGGTAGCAGGGTGTTTGGTTGGTGGAGAGTGTGTGGTGGGGGGGCATGTGATGTTCGTCATGGTGCTGTGAATACTGCTTACTTGCCACAAGTGGGGACTCTTATCTGCATACTGACATTTGTCTGGATTTTCACAATATTTATCCAAAAAAGGTGCCTGTTTATTCCAATTTTTTTTAATGTGTCATTAGCATGTTCATGCTATGGTTAGGTAAGCATGAGAACGCCATCTGGATAACTGCACGCGTGTTACACACGGGCTTGCACGTGGCCTCAGTGTCGTACCAGGGAGCAGCCGCTTAGTGTACAGTGCAGTGAAGCCAGCAACCAGATCTATCTCATCTCTTGTGATTAGGAAAGAATACAGACCCTGGAGGGGGAGCTGCAGACCGTCAACCACAGTAAGACGATGTTGGAGAAGGAGCTGCAGGAAGTCATTGCACTGACCAGCCAGGAGCTAGAGGAACACCGGGAGAAGGTGGTGGAACTCGAAGATGAGGTAACTGCCTGCCTCTGCCACTTGGCGGGGAGCAGATGGAAACAAGTGTGGGCCCTGATGCAGAGAGAAAGGGGCTTGGAGGGGAGAAGAACTGTGATGCTTGCTCAGCCTTACAAGTCTGCGGTTTGGATAGATACCCGGCTGTGCCTCTTAGTCTTGTAACCAGCACTCTGGTAAGGCCCGCTGTAGTCACTAGCCCTTCCAGCACGGGCGGAGGCTGTTGAAATTGGTCATGGAAACCCTTCTCTGAGTGCTTTGGGTGCAAACACCCAGAAACCTACCCAAGCTGGCTGCAGCCACTGACCGGCGCACTTGGGCGATGGGGAGGCAAGCGGCTCAGCAACATCACCCAGGACTCCCCCCACTCCCCTGACAACCACAGTCCACTTCCTTCCCCGGCCTCCTGTCTGTGTGTCTGCCCCAAGCTCAGCTCCTCTCTCACACTCAGCAGGGAGTGAGGAGATGGGTTGAAGGACTGGGCCTCTGTCGGTGTCGGTCCTTGGTGTTTCTCCTCTAGAAGCTCACGGTCCCCAAGACAAAAACGGTCATGCGCTTCAGGGGAGGAAGTGTGACGGGGAAGGGAAGCAGCGGCAGTGATGGCCGCAGACTGGAGTCCTTCCAGTTCAAACCACTGTGTGCGGGTGGCATATGAGCCCTTGAGAACTCCCAGCTTGGCATGTGTGAGAACTCCATCATGGAGCTCATCTTCCCATGGTCCCTCTGTTTCAGCTTCAAGAATCCCGAGGCTTTCAGAGGAAGATCAAGCGCTTGGAGGAGGCAAACAAGAAGTTGGCCCTCGAGTTAGAGCACGAGAGGGGGAAGCTCACAGGCCTTGGGCAGTCCAATGCAGCCCTGCGGGAGCATAACAGTGTCTTGGAGACGGCCTTAGCCAAGAGGGAGGTGGATCTGGTCCAGCTGAATCTACAGGTATCCAGACTGGGTAACCCCAAATCAAGCCCAGTTCCTTTGGGCCAAGTAGTGTCCTAATGCCTCACCTGTAGTATCTGTATGAATCTCATCATGGCCTCCAAGGGACAAGTGTCCAGCCCATTTGTTGGCAGGGCTGCTGAGCCTACAGGCTCACAGCTGGAACACTTAGATGCATCGTATCGGTTTCTTGTTATATGGACACTGGGCAGTGCTCGCGGGGCAATTTCCAGTTGGAAGCAGTCACACTATATGGAAGGGACCCTTTCCTGAAGTCCACTTGGGATTTAGGGTCAGGCCTTGGTCAGTATGGAAACCAAACAGCAGACCCCAGAATAGGGAAGGCTCCGAAAGGGCAACCAAGGCCAATTGGAGCCCAGCCTTGAATTCCGTCCACAGAGAGTTTAAAAACACTTTTCTGAAAAAACAAACAAACACTTTTCTGTAGTCATATTTCTGCCTTCCCACCAGTATGCTCCAGAAAATGGGCATCTTTCTTACTTTCCCAGGCTGCACTGTTGGTGGGTAACCTTCTGACTAGGCGCTGCCCCTCCCATGGCAGGCTGCAGCCCGCGGGCTCGTGGCTGTCTGAGCTCTTGCACCCTTGCTCTCCCTCTGTGGCGCCATCTAGGTGCATGCAGTTCTGCAGCGCAAAGAGGAGGAGGACCGCCAGATGAAGCAACTTGTCCAGGCTTTACAGACCGCATTAGAGAAGGAGAAAGTGAAGGTGAACAGCCTCAAGGAACAGGTGTGTGGTGGCTTCTGTCTGCCAGGTGTGAAATGGAAACATAAGGGGCCCGTTTTTAAACGTTCTTCAGGTTCTGCAAAAACCGTGTGGGTTCCAGGGGACACGTCAGTGCCCTTTCCCTAAATGTACTGGAAAGAGGCCTGCTCTTGTTCAGAGAACAAAGCTGTTCTTCAGAACATTGCTGGCTGCAGTGAAAGGCGGAGAGGGTCAGCATGGAGCCCGATGCACACATGCGGGGGCTGCTGCTGGGACAGGCTCCCCACATGTGGGGTGAGGTAGGACAGCGCAGAGTAGTGTGTCGCGTCAGGAAGCAAACAGAAAGCACTGGTCGTTTTCAGAGTAAGATATCCCCCACGGGCGGCTCCTTCTCCTGCGTCTCAGTCAGCCGACTCAGCAGATGAGTCCTCTCACAGAGGCCATCCTCAAATCTAAAGTAAGCCTCAACCCTATGCCCCTTCTCAATCCACCTCTGTTGGGATGTGAGCTTCACGGGGAGAAGGGTCAGGTCTCCTGCCTGCCCTAACGTCCCAGTGACGTAGTGGGTAGTCAGCACATGTTTGTGTGTGCTGCTTGAGTGTGTGCACGTGTGTTTAAACACATGGATAGACATAGAAAACCCCTGCAAGAACGTACTGACGTGACTCGTAGGCGGGACTACAGAGAGAAGAGGTAGGTCGGGAGACGTTATTTTGCCTCGGAACGCACTGTGTCTCTCTCTGCGAAGTTTGCATTACTTTCACAATTTTACTTTCGCAATCTAAGAGTAAAGCTTCTTTAGTTATTATCTGGATTTTACTACAGCTCTTAAAACTTTGGGATACGTTATTTTATTGATTTATTTCTTGCATATTGGTGAATGCTTTTTATTGTTTTCTTCTTTTGCCGATCTCCTTTTTATTACATACATCCTTCCTCTTCACCCATGTAAATATGTATAGTTAATATGAACCTTCTAATTAATGGCTTACCTTATCTATCTCTCTCAGCCCTTGTAATCATCAAAGAATGTTTCTTCCTGTTTGCAAACCTTTTCTTGTTTTCTTATAGTTGTAGTCACATAAGACTATTTTTCTATTTATGATCCACTTATTTCACTCATCATAACGTTCTCCAGGTTTATCCGTGTCATAAGGTGTTTGGCAGATTCGTTGTGAATATATATAGGTACTATAATTGTTTATTCATTCTTCCATTTAGGGGTTTCCGTCTTTTTGCTACTGTGAATGTTGCTACAATGCACTTAGAATGTGTAATTTGAATCACAGCTTTTATTCTCAGGACATATATTTAGTAGTAGGATTGCTTGATGATACAGCCATTTGATTTGCCTCTCTTTAATGGCTAATGATTATAAGCATTTCTTTGTATATTTATTAGCTGCCTGAATGTCTTTTTTGGTGAAATCTCTGTTCCTTTCTTCTACCCATTTCTAAATTGGATTTTTTTTCCCTTTGTTATTGAGGTGCTGACACTTTCTATACATTTTAGAGATCGGCTCCTTAACCAATGTTCTTGCCTACCTGATATCCGGGCCCCCCCCTGCCCCCCCGCCCCCAAATCTGTGGATTTTTGTTTTCACTCTCATGAAATCTCAATGTGTTTAATTTTCAGAGGTCTCAGTGATCTATTTTGTCTTCTGCTGTGTAGTGTTTTCAATTATGTTTGATAGTGAATTTATATTCTGTATTAGGGCCCCTAATTTTATCCGTATTTTTTCATTGATGATCTTCATCGTTGTAGGTTTTACATTTCGGTCTTTGATCCATCTTCAGTCTCTTTTTGTATATGATGTGAAATTTAGGTCCTCTTTCAGTTTTGCAGAGATGAAATAGTCATTTTAAGGCAGTACTTGTGAACAGTGCTTAATTACTGCTCTAAAATACATTTAGTGTTATTGTCTTGGTTATAAAAATAATAGAAAGTAGTAAAATGTTCTAAAAGCTTAGAGATTAGAGTACAAATAATTTTGAATCTCTGTGACACCACTGTTAAAAAATCAAACTCACGGCCATCAAGTCAATTCCAAGTTGCAGTGTCTCTGGAGTTTCTGCGGCTGTAGCGCTCTACGGGAGTGGAGTGTCCCGTCGTTCCCCTGCCGAGCGGCTGGTGGTTTTGAACTGCTAACCTTGCTGTTAGCAGTCCAGCACGGACTCACTATGCCACCAGGACTCCTTCCAGTGTTAATACTTGAACAGAATTCTTGCCATCTTCTATTGGATTAGAAAGACAACAAACTAACTCATAAGAACTTTCCGTGTAGTGTCTGTCATATTTCTCTAAGTCTGTTATTGGCTGTGAGTTTTTGTTGTACTTTTTTATCTAAAAGGCTTATTGGGATGGCTTCCCATTCCTCTGGACTCGGGGTTGTTAGGACTCTTTCCATTTGTAGTGTATCCCCTGGAAGCCCTGGAAGTCTCACTTCTCCCGTCGGGCTCCTTTCTGAAAGCTGTGCTTTGTCACCCATACGATAGCTCCTGAAGCTTCGCTTCTCTCAGAGGACATCCTTCAGGAACGGCTTCTCCTGGGGTAGGACGTCCCTCTGGACACCTCACTCCTCTCGTGGGCTGGCAGACTCTGCAGCTCCTTGGGCGTCAAGAACAGGGACTGTCTCCGCGTCTCCCCATCTGGAAAAGGGGGGAGGAGGTCTTTGGTGCGAGGCGTCTTCTCCTGGGGAGCTCCTCAGCACCAGAGCGCCCTCGGTTTCTGTGATGATTCCTTTCTGCCCTTCTGTCAGACACTGCAGTCTTTCCCGTCGTCTCTGCCAGTTGTTTGATGAGAGAGATCTTCCCTACCTAATTATAACAATGGTCTTGTCTTCGTCTAGTGCACGCCATTTTCGTGTGCTTTGAATTGACATGTGCCTGCTGCCACCTTTGTTAGGAAACTTGTTTTTAAATGAAATGCTTGCTTTTGAAACTGGACAAGAAAATTATTGGAAAAGAAAAAATGTTATATGCTAAGAGTTTTCTTGTCTTGTAAATCTCATGAAAATCTATCGGTAAGCTGTGAAAAGCAGTAAAGGTTCCTGCAAGAGGCTATTACATTATAAATAGATAGTTTTCTACAGTAAATTTGATAGAAAAGTAGATTCCCCTTACACAGAAGCATTTGAAAGGCATGAATCAACTGTGAACAAATTTAACAAGAGACAAGTATACTTGTAGAAGACTTTAAAAAACTAAGCAAAAAGAATCCTCAATCAATGTGTTCATTCAACACATACCAATGCTGTACTACTATGTGCCAAGCTCTGTTGAATCCTTTATAAAGAATTTGATAGACTGTGGAAGTGCACACATGAAAGAGAAGCTAAACGTTTTTGAAAAAGATTTAACGTTTGCCAGTGCTCGACTTACTCTACAGCTACACACACGCCTTGGGGGCACTCGCTTTGTCCCTGCTTTCTTGTTTATGCCGTACTCTTGTGTCTTCCTCTAGGTTGCTGCAGCCAAGACCGAGGCAGGCCACAACCGCCGCCACTTTAAGGCTGCCACCTTAGAGCTGGGGGAGGTGAAGAAGGAACTGCAGGCCAAGGAGCACCTGGTGCAGAAGCTGCAGGCTGAGGCGGACAGCCTACAGTGAGTGCTGGCGGCGCTTGCGGCCTTAAAAACCGCTCCTCCTGGACATGCTGGCTGGGCAGGCTTTGGGCATTCTTGCTAGGCCCAGCCCTTGGGCTTCAGTCCCACATTTTGAGGGTCACCTGTCTTGGCATATTCCTAAGTGCTGTGGAGACAAAGCCAAGTGTAGTGTATTTGTTTCCTGTTTTCAGAAGCCCGTCACTTCACTTTTGAGATTTAAGCTCCATCCCTGCTCTATCCACTTCTTCCCATGCCCTGCCACATGGTCCTTCTCTGGGGCCTTGTCACAGGAGGAGCCAATGTGGGCCCAAGCGTCTCTGCAGACGCCGGTGAGCACCGCATACAGACAACCTAATTCTTCACTGGTGGCATCAGGACAGGACACAGGGCAGATGTTGACTGCCTAGGCCAGGGGTTCTCAACCTTCCTAACACCGTGACCCTTCCATACAGTGCCTCAGATGTGGTGACCCCCCAACCATATAACATTATTTTCATTGCTACTTCGTCACTGTCATGTTGCTATTGTTATGAATTGGGCGACCCCTGTGAAAGGGTTGTTCGACCCCAAAGGGGTCGTGACCCACAGGTGGAGAACCGCTGGTCTAGCATTTCACAAAGGAGCAGAGAGGCACATGGGCTCTGAGTCACCTTCCTCCTGTGGACCGGCCTCATTGGGCTGTGGACCCAGATTCTGGCCACCACTTAACGCTGGGGTCATGGAGGGGATACCTAGCTTTATCATCTGTCTGTGAGAAGAGTTCATGGAGCATCCCTCTTGGAAAGGGTCCCCTATGGGTTCGTGGAGATCTGGCATTTGTAAAGCCCCAGAACAGCCCTTTGCCCGGTCCTCAGTAAACAGGTGCCTAATAAAATGAGCCTCACCCAGCCAGAATAAGGTTCCGCTGAGAAGACCCAGCTCGGCGTCCTCACTCATGCGTCCCGATTTCACAGGCTTCAGCGGGGGAAGCACTGTGAGGAAGTGGCGCAGTTCCAGGAGGAGCTGGCAGAGGCCCGGGAGCAGCTGCAGCTCCTGCAGAAGCAGCTGGCCGAGCAGCTGAGCAGACAGCCCACAGGGGGCCAAGAGGTGACACTTACAGCACAGCTTTCCTGATTGATGCAGTTAACGGTCTTATTCCCTATCTGCTCACGGAGGAGTAGTAACTTGCTCTGAGTATGGTACTAAATGCTAATTTTGTCACCATAAGCAGAGATACAGGTAGAACAGTTTTCTTTTCTTTTTTTAACAATTTTATTGGCATATAATTCACATATCATAACAATTTATCAGTTTAGTCACATCGAGAAGAATTGTACATCAGCACCCAAATCAATTGTAGAACATTTTCTTCGTTCTTATACTCACTGTTATTAGTTTCCCATTTCTCCCCAATGTCCCCTGCTGAACCATTAAGCCAGTTACTGTCTGTATAGATTTACCTACTCTGGATTTCAAATACAGAAAAACATTTAAATACACACATACATACATACATAGTAAAACAGATATAAACCTCAATCAAAAAGTAGAAAATATTGAAAACTAGAACAAATTTAAAATGGATCAAAGGGGAGAGCAAATGATAAGATGTTAAATTTTAACCTATTTGCATCGGCAACAATCCACTCTGCAGTGCATCCTGCATGATAGCAAGGCTAGTCACATCCCTGGCCTGTGGTCAGAAGGCATTCACCAGAGGCTTAATCACATGCATTTCCCCTTCACTTTTCTTCTTTCAAATAGAAAGAACTTTAAACGGGATAAAAGGTGCATCAAATAATAAGATATTACATTTTAACCTAACTTTGCCTGCCATTTATTCGACTTTACAATGTAGATAACTCTGGTTTCTCTTCAGATCGTAAAAATATTTCACCTTTTACAATGTAGAATAATTTTCTGGTGCAAGCAAGCCTTTTGAAAATCCTTTATGTTACTTTCCCTGCATTAGATGGAAAATCTCAAATGGGAGGTGAATCAGAAAGAGAGAGAAATCCAGTCCTTAAAACAACAGCTAGATTCGACGGACCAGCAGAATAAGAGAGAAGTGGAAGGGATCCAGCAGCTACTGCAGGTACGTGTGTGTGCAAGGACCGGGGCAGAGAATCCAGCAGCTACTGCAGCTATGTGTGTGTGTGCAAGGACCGGGGCAGAGAATCCAGCAGCTACTGCAGCTATGTGTGTGTGTGCAAGGACCGGTGGAAGGGATCCAGCAGCTACTGCAGGTACGTGTGTGTGCAAGGACCGGGGCAGAGAATCCAGCAGCTACTGCAGCTATGTGTGTGTGTGCAAGGACCGGGGCAGCGAATCCAGTAGCGCCTGCAGCTGTGTGTGTGTGCAAGGACCGGGGCAGAGAATCTAGCAGCTACTGCAGCTATGTGTATGTGTGCAAGGACCGGGGCAGAGAATCTAGCAGCTACTGCAGCTATGTGTATGTGTGCAAGGACCGGGGCAGAGAATCCAGCAGCTACTGCAGCTATGTGTGGGTGTGCAAGGACCGGGGCAGAGAATCCAGCAGCTCCTGCAGCTGTGTGGGTGTGCAAGGACGGGGCAGAGAATCCAGCAGCTCCTGCAGCTGTGTGGGTGTGCAAGGACCGGGCAGGGTCCCAGGGTCAGAGCATGTCACAAGTTGTTAGGTGGCATCAAGTTGTTTCCCACCGGTAACGACCTTCCTTAAGCACAACAGAGCAAAACACTGCCGGGACCTGCATCATCCTTGGCCCATTGATGCAGCCACCGTGTCAGCCCATCTCCTTGAGGGCCTTCCTCACTGTTTCACTGCCCCTGTACTTGACCAAGCATGATGTCCTTCTCCGGAACTGGTGTCTCCTGACAACATGTACACACTACGTGAGACAGAAGTGAGTCCAGTTACTGCTGAGTGCTATGGGCCAGGCATGGTTTTGACCCAGTTCAACCTCTTACAGAGGATTTGCATTTCCACTCAGGTGCTGAATTGGAGTAGACATTTTAACAACCCCCCCAGGTGATTATTAATGGTCACATATAGATCATAAGCATCACTTTGGGATCGTGTTAAACTATAGAGTCTTCATTCTCTATATCTGGGGTAGATATGCAAATTCTCCACAAGGAGGTGAGCCAGCATTAACAGATTCAAAGTCTTGGTGTCAGGCAGTATGCTAAGTGCTTAACGGGCGCTCTACTTAATTGAATGCTCCTCAAACTGTCCTGAAGCTTTTAGTAAGCCCAGTCAACAGGGGTGTTGTCCATCCAGAGACACTCACGTTCCAACTTGGCCTGGAGGAACAACTGCCAAGGGAGCATCCCGTACTGACAGAGATGGCATATGCCCAGGGTCCAGCAGGATCTCAGCCTCCCACAAGCCCACCCTTGGTAGCTGGTCCTGGATCCTAGCCACTGTTGACTGTGGAAGATTTTCTTCAGGGCTGCCTGCCAGCTTCACCCAGGTGATTGAGGTAGCCCTGTGATCTATCAGAATCAGTACCTTCTGGGTACCCTATTCCGCCTATCACAGCCCCCTTCCATAAGACTTGCCTTCCTGCCTGTCCTAAAGGATGTTTGTCCTGGAGAATGCCTCAGACTTGCAGTGTCACCCCAGGACTGTACCCAGGGCCTGTGGGCCTTTCCTTCCCTTGGGCCACAACTAGCCTCTGTTGCCTTGGGAGGCCTTGGGGAATGGCCATCTTGGAGGCCTGGGCTTCAGGGAGAACAGTGCTGCTCTCTGAGGAAGAGCCTCTTGCTCACATTTAGTGGCATGCGGTGCTATTGGTGGGTTCTGGGCTGCTAACCATAAGGTCAGCAGTTCACACCCACAGCTGCTTGCAGGAAAAAGATGAGGCCGTTTGCTCCCGTGTAAAGATACGCAGTCTCAGAAGCCTTATACAGGTTGCTATGAGTCGGAATGGACTCAGTGGCAGTAAGGGTTTGTTTTTTGTGGGGTTTTCTTGGTGTGGGTGGGGAGGTTGAGTTCTCAGAGAGAAGGCTTGTGATCACTGTGTAAAGTCACGTGGCTGGAAGAAGGCGTAGCTGAGACACTGGCGTGAGCCATGTGAAATGTACCAGAGACAGAATTTCATTCAGTCCTATGCGGGATAAAGAACCTGTGCTAATATTTCTAATCTGTGATAACATTCAGTGAAGAGCTCTATTTTTAACTTCTTAGCAGTCAGCCTCAGGAAAGGAGAGAGCACGGATCTCCTAAGACAACTCACCTGTAAATGAATGGCTGGGATAGCAGTTAGAATTGATCGATGTTGTTTCTTAGAAATAGTTGGGTTTATTCTAGTAGTTTACTTAGGGATCTAAACGAGTGAAGTTAGGATTCACTGTAGAACGTGGATGTAGGAGTGTTGTTGGTTCCTTGGCAGAGGCTCTGAAATTTGAGTAACGGTGTCGAGAAATTGGATGTGCCTGGATACTTCACAATATAGACTCCTGAAGGAGAAATTGTGCCAAGATAGCAAGGAACGTTTTCTCATGTGAAGCTCAATGGTAGCCTTTTAGTTTGTAGAACTATTTCTCATTTCATCTTAAGACCTTAGCAATGTGTGTAAAATGTTTTAGCTAACAAAACAAACACAACTCTTTTTATTGCAGGTGATCATAGTTTTAGGTCCAACAATTTGATATTCTGATTCAACTCATCCATTGCAATCCTCTCAAGTTGTTATCGCTTGTCACACTTCTTCCCTGTGTTTCCTGTTTCAGTTCTTCTTTCTTTCCTTAACCCTTTGAACTTTGAATGAATGCTGCCCATTTGGTCCTAAATGGTTGATTAGCTAACACAGAATGAGTCCCAGGCTGAGTAAGGGCCTGAGTCTTTTGGGTTTCACCCATCTCTGCCTGATAAATAAACCTGGTCTCCTGGGACTTGGAGTTAAGCCCCACATTTCTCTCTCTCTATCCAGGACCTTCTCAGGCAGCTGGTAGCTAAGCACTGTGCAGTTCTTCCGGTCTCATGGTTGTGAAGACTAATGTCTTCATGGGCCATGAGTTCACTGGACTGATTGTGTGCATGTGTCTTTTGATGTTTGTAACTCTTCTTTCTCTAGATGGGGTGAGACCAATAGTTGCACTGTAGATGGCTGCTCAGAGTGACTGTGTTAGCTTTTTTCTTCGCTGGTTGAAAACTCTGTGGTTTCACTTTGTCTAGAATATGAAGTCTGAGCTGGAGATGGTACGGGAAGATCTCTCCACAACCCAGAAAGATAAGTTTGTGCTTCAAGTGAAAGTGTCAGAACTGAAGAATAACATGAAGACTTTGCTCCAGCAAAACCAGCAGCTGAAGCTAGACCTGAAACGCAGCTCGGCCACGAAGGTAGGCAGACCCCGAGTTTCCTCCAGGTGAATTCAAGTGCACTCTGCTTTTCTTTAGGTATGAGGATGATAGATTTCTAGTCGTCCAGACATAAATATATTTAACCAGTGCCTAACTGAACAATTGTAAGCCCGGTGTAGTAAACAACATTGGAATGTTCTGGCTGGGCAGTAGGCCTAATCGTTTTATTTGGAGTCTTTTTCAACAGAACATTTGCCACTTGCCATGCATTGAGATACCGTTTGCGGTGATGTGCTTTATAGATAGAGTAGACTTGTTTCTGATGGCCCGGGCATTGTAATAATGTCCGCTGGCTCGCCTGCAAGCACAGTGGGGGCAGGTATCTGCCAGAGGGCCTCGAACGAGCCCTGATCTTGATGCTGTGGTCACTAGAGTAGTCAGTGTCTGGGAGTATGCATCTCATTGAGTGCATTCCAGAATGCAGAGGTTTACTTAGCATCAGTTGCTTTCATTGGAAAAGGTTACACAGGCAGACCTCGGAGATACTGCAGGTTCAGTTCCAGACCACCACAATAGAGCAAGTCCCACCAATCTTTTTGGTGTCCTGATCCAATGAGAATGACCAAAATGGAACACGAGACACAAAGTGAGTCCATGGCGTTGGAAAAATGGTACCGAGAGATTTGCTCGATGCAGGGTTCCCACAAATGATCACTTTATGAAAACACAAGATCTGTGCAGCACAGTAGAGTGAGGTGGGGCTACACTCGGAGCTTCAGTAGCAGTCGGTTATGTGTTGGGCTGCTAACCACAAGGTCTGCAGTTCAAACCCAACGACTCTGAGGGAAGAAGATGAAGCTTTCTGTTCCCGTAAAGATTGACAGCCTCAGAAACCTTACGGCGCAGATTTTACTCTGTGCAGGGGGGGCACTATGAATCAATTGGCAGTGAATTTATACTTGGATGCCATAGAAAAGAGTCTGATTAAGTTGGAAGTTCTGCCTAATTTCCTAGAAAATTCAAAGTCATGGCTCAAAGCTTTCTTGAAAAACAGCGTTTTCTCCAGGAATTAGAGCTGCCCTCTTGTGTATTCAGGACTCCATCAAAGCATGTAGGTTGCACGTGAATCCCTTGTTAATATTTCTAAAAAGTCAGAGACTCCAGCTTCTCAGCGAGCATGCCCTTCAAACATAAAACCTTGGAGCTGGTGTTCTCCTGTAGTCAGTAGAGCTGCACTCACTTACTCATTTGTCCCCATCGCCTACCATCTGGAAGTGTCAGGCACTGTGGCTGCAGAATAGGCAGGACCTAGTGGGGAGACGAGTCACTTAGGGTCCAGTATAGCAATAACGAAGCCCACAACTTTCCTCTGGTTCTTGAACGCTTCCTCCCCCCAACTACCA